AAGAGTTTGTTAACATGATGTCTGTGGTTAAAAACTGCCCAGTTCCTGGAGGCTGTCAGCTGTACATATATAAGCTTCATTTGCCACCTCGGTGCATCACACCTCTTCCTCTGCTCTTTCTGACACAGATGGCCTTCCATCATCATTCATAGCTCACACTCTGGAGCCTCCCGAGTCTCTGAAGGACCACTGTGCAGGCAACAATCTGAACGGATACCAGAGCGCCAGGCCCCTGAACGATCTGAATATTCCAGTCAGACCAGCCATGCCCGTCACTGAGTATGAGACGCAGCTGGACAATCTCACTCTCAAGCCGCAGCCTTTGAAACAAGGTACATGCAGATAAAGGATTATGTCTCGCCTCTTGTGTGTATTTGTAGTCTCTCCTGTTTCAGAGCTTCATGATGGACAGGTTGTTGTGGAGTTTAGGTCCTCCCTGTTTTGGCAGCACTTGGAAGTTGCATAATGTCTAGATTATATGGCTCTCTGGTCTTCAAAGACATTTACCGTCTGTCTTTTAATGTTGTAATTCTTCTTTCTCCAGTGTCATCTTTCTTTTGTCTGCTCTTCACACTATTGCATATCTGAGATGTTTCCTCTGTTGCTCATCCAAAGGTTTCTTCCTTCTATCCCCTGTTTAAGGGTTTTATTTTTTTCGGCGATTTCTCCTAGCCCAGCCCATGGCACCAAGTATAGAGGGTGTTGTATTCTGTACAAATTGTAAATGCTTTTAAGGTAAATGCATAATTTGTGAATTGAGGCTAAATGAACAGAATTGACATCACATAACTGATAACATGGGTAACAATAACAACACAGTTCTGACAAGTTAAATGAAATAATTTTATTGCTTGACCAAATTTTTCCAGCAAAGTCTAAATCAACCTCTTTCTCCTCCCTCACAGTAGATTACTCTGCCCCTCTGGACCACTCTCCAGCTTCACCAGGCCCGATTGCCCAGTGGATCTCAACACGGCGTGAGGAAATCGTCTCCCAGATGACGGAGGCCTGTCTGAACCAGAGCCTGGATGCCCTTCTGGCTCGCTCCATGCTGATGCGAGAAGATTATGAGCTCGTGGTGAACCAGCGCACACGCACTGCCAAGGTCCGCCAGCTCCTGGATAACTGCCACAGACACGACGAAGACTTCTGCCGCATTATCGTCCGCAAGCTGCATGACAACAAGCAGATGGGCCTCCTACCATACCCAGCTGAGCTCAACTTCCCTTCCCCATCCCTCGGCCCAAGCGCACCGCCCCTGTCCACGTCCTGTAATATACCCCGGAACATGTAGCAGCAGTCGCAGCCAAGCAGTGGAAACAAGCCAGATTATAGACTGTGCCAACTTTACACTACAGTTGACTCTTCCTGGTTCCATTGTCATTAAGACTGCCATCATGGTTCCTGTCGGTCCTTCCCTCAAAAAGGGAGGAACTGAGATATGGTTGGCTGAGCAAAAAGACTCACACGTACAACGCTGTTGGCTTCAAATTTAATGTCCACTCATCAACGAGTTTTATTCTGTATAATCAGAATCAAAAGATTTTGACTGAATCAGTGATTTTATTTAACAGTGTTTATTTATAGTCCTTTATTTCTCACTGGACTTATTACAGGGTTTCACTCCTTATGATGTGTTGTGCAGTTTGTCTTAAAAACTCAGCATTAATTGATAATATATGTAGCTTATTAGTTGTGTGTGTGTGTGTGTGTGTGTGTGTGTGCGCGCGCGTGTGTGTGTGTGTGTAGAATTCAAACATCCTGAATACACTCAGTTGATCTGAGTAGGTGACAGGAGGACTGTTAACATGCTGGAAAACCTAGAGCAAAAAAAGGTTTATTCCTATTATAGCAATCTAATCTTAAAGTACCATGGTGTCATGGGTTCACTCTCCTGATAACGCTGACCACCTATGTGAAGTGAGAATGTGTCTGTCACAGCAACAAAGAGTGTCTTTGTTATAGGATGTGTGGTTCAATATAAAGACAAAGTGGTGGGAAAAAGCACAGTCAAGTGTGCAAGATGTACTTCAGAGCTGTTGATGGTCTGTTTCTGAAAGTGACAAGCTTCACATAACTCAGCTGAAATGTTGGGATGAGCTGCGGTCTTGGTCGGCTGTGGTCATGTGACTTTTGCCCCCTGCCTGGGCTCTTTCTCCTCCTATTTTCCTAGAGAGCTATAGAGAGTCACTGGGACGTGGAGTAAAGAGGAAGTTGGGAGTGTAACAGAACACCCAGAAAAAAGAGAGATGCGTGTCCGTTTCTGTGTAGATTAAAGGTAGATCGGCGTGATCTGTTCTTGGATTTCTTTTGGTCTTCTCAGCAGTGGCTCCGTGTCTCAATATTTTTAATAATGTTAACTTCAGTCTCATCTGGATCCTTCCAGAGTAGCAGTTCTTTGATGAGCTACAATTGGGAAAAATAACTTTTAACACATTTTCTATCTGACTGAGCTGCTCTGCAGAAGCATAAGTGCAACACGTGAACAGAGAACTGCTATGCTTGTAGCACTAACCGCCTCACTCTACGCTGTCACTGTGCAGTTTATTACCCCTGACGTGCAACCTTTTCTGCTGTAGCTGTGATATCTGATCTCCTCAAAACAACTGTAACACATATTAATAAACTGTTTTTCTGTTTCACATAGAGCACAGCAACAGTCAGCAAGGCATAATCCTGTTAAATGCAAGAAAACACATATTTTAAAAAAGACTAAAACCTGTGTCAGCCCCACTGTTACTTCATACAGCATATTCTTTGTGCCAACACACATTCTAGTTGCAAAATAAAATGTTCATTATTTTCAGTCATCATACTGGTGTGTGTGTGTGTGTGTGTGTGTGTGTGTGAGATGGAGCTGTAATTTTCATTAAAAAGTAATTGGATGCTATTAAATGCATGAAAATTGTTTAGAAAAATACTGTTCACTGTTTCCCAGAGGCCAAGGTGACATCTTCAAGTTGTTTATTTGTCCAGTTAGCTGTCTTGAATCAAATTATAATCAATTTATTGTCATAGAAAACTAAGAAAATCAAGCAAATATTTACACTTGAGAAAGTGAGGTCTATTTTTTTTTTTTTTTTGCTTAAAAATAACTTTACTGTTAATTAATTGATTATCAACAAACTGTGTCCACTCCAGCGTGCATGTTGTTTACATTTTTTTGTACATTTTCTCAATAAGGGCCTAATTGTATTCATTCCTCAAACGGGTGCTTAAAGTATAGTAGCTGTGGCACTTGCTGTGTGTACATCGATAGATTCACCACAGAATATCCATGGTGGTGTTCCCATTTCTCAACACTCTTCCCCTCATTATGCACAGGTTCCCCCTCATTAGGTCCAAAGTGAGTTACAGTTTAATAAAGAAGTGGGAAACGAGCCACAGCAAGTCATTAGTAAGATACTATTACATGATAATATGTTAAATATTAACTGCAAGGCCAAACAGGGTCGAGATGCTTCCATAATGTTGGACCTGTCTTTGATAACTGTGCCTCATTCGACTTTTGTCCTCACCCACAGTAACGTGCACAAGTCTTTTACACACATATCAAGCAAAGTTGAGTTAAACTGCTACAAATTTTCAAGCCTAAAGATGTAATAATGTATTTTTTACTGTAGATGATCTTCATATATATGTATTTTCATCTGTGACTTATTGTTTTGTCAAATGTTGATTTCATATTTGTAGAACTGCCTTCTAAGAATCCTGGCCTGATTGAGCGCCCGTATCATCAGTATCCGTTTATCAAACAGTAATATCATGTTATAGGGTCAGCTGACGTGTAGCTGTGGGTTCAACAGAAATTAGGATTTTTCATATATTGTAACTCGTATTAAAATGTGTCCTCTGTTTTTACTTCTGCCTGCTTCTTTCCTCTTCATTTAATTTTAAAATGTTATTCTAAGGATAATTTTTAGTTAGAACAGTGCTTGTATAATGTATCTATATAAAGCTACTGCCTGGGATACCAAGAACCAAGGGGGTCTATGTATAACCATGGATTACTGAACAGGCCTACAGGGGACAAACTGTCACTGGAAGAGAGATAAAAAGGCAAGGAGATGCAAAATGACAAAAGAAGTGTAAAGACAAAATAACCTCAGAGATCCAAAACAGCTATGAAGAGACTTAAAATAACTACAAAGGGAAAATGACCACAATCAGATGCACAACAATTAAAGTGAGACTTTTACGTGTCAATGCCCAGTGGCCCTTGTCTCATATATTACTGTCTCATACATCTACTGTATGTGTATAGCAACCTGAGTGACTGATGTTGGGCTGATCATAACATATTCTTTAATCAAAGGGGACATCACAATGTCCTACAGTCTGCTAACTGTATCCTGTATGTTTACCCAGAAGCAACTTGGCTGTGTCTGCCTGTGCTGTTAGAGTTACTGAAAATAGCCCAGAGACAGAACCTGAGAGTGCATTTCATCTGCTGCCTGAATAACACCAGTGGCGGTTGTCCTGGGAATTGCAACATCAACTGACCTGATGTGCACTCACTGCTTCACTGACCAGTTCAGAGGAGCAATACTGACTCTGTGCATGCTCAGAGGGACAAATAAACCTTTAGATTGTTCCAGAAATAAGGCAAGTTCACTTTTTTATTCTTTTTACACATTCACCTTTTATTGTAAGGCTCCATTTTTTATGCCTTTATCTGGAGGCATAAAGAATGGAGTATGGCAAAAACTTCATGTTAGTGAACACACGTATGATCTTTTATTAACTGGATGTTAACGGGGTGGCATTCAGGTTTTATGTCTGAGTGTGGAGTTGAACTTTTTAGTAGAAGAACTGTGTCATCTGTGTTTGGAATTAAACAGTGTTTTAATATTGGAAGAAGAAACATCTTTAATTATTTATCTCCCCATCACGACTACAGGACTGATGGGGGATCTGAGGCAGAAGATGAACTTTATGTCACAGACAGTTTGCCCCAGATTCCGGGCTCCGTCTGATGAAGACTTAAAGTCTCCAAATGAAGGGAAAGGAGAGAAAATGCAGATGAAGAGGGAAATCTCTCTCATCAGTGGGATCTGCCTAATTGTGGGCAACATGATTGGCTCTGGAATCTTTGTCTCACCCAAGGGCGTACTTATGCACAGTGCCTCTTTCGGACTGTCATTGCTGATTTGGGCTCTTGGGGGCATCTTCTCAGTGTTTGGGGCTTTGTGCTACGCTGAGCTCGGTACCACCATCGCCAAGTCCGGAGCCAGTTACATCTACATCCTGGAGTCATTTGGTGGCTTCGTGGCTTTCATCCGCCTGTGGACATCTATCCTGTTGATCGAGCCAGCCAGCCAGGCCGTGATTTCACTGACCTTTGCCAGCTACCTGCTAGAGACTTTCTACCCCACCTGCCAGCTGCCGTATTATGCTGTCCGTCTCATCGCTGCATCCTGCCTGTGTAAGAAACACTCCTGTGTCTAAATAAGGGTGGGCATCTGCTTTTTCACCCAGAAACTGCATGAGAATGTCATTTTTTGAAATTTCTGTAAATACTAAGTAACCTCTGGGTTGTGTTCATTCAGCTATAAATGTGCACTAAGAAATGTAAATACCTGTGAGCTGTTGCAAAAAAAGACCATTCTGATCTCCACCCTGGCCTCACCCCAGTTTCTGATGTCAGCTGGACATCTTCCAATCACCTCATTTTTTTAAACTGATGTTCTGCAGGCAGAAAGGCTGAAACAAAATCTGCTCCAAAACCTGTCCTAATGTGGAAAGGAGCTGTCGAAGCCTCCCGTGGGCCAGATGCATTGAACAGCACTGCAAGCAGTGCAGAGATATTAGCTTCTAAAAGCTTTTGAGATGCACTAAGCTCTAACCAATCAGAGATTTTCAGTTATTTCTGCTTCATCAGTAAGTTTTGTTGCTTTCTCATTATTGTAATTTCATAAGGACAAATATCTGAATAGCTGAGCAGAGCGTGATGGAGCGTAGCTGGTCATAGTAGAGCATAGTGGAGCAGGGAGAGGGAGTGCTGGGTGGAGCATAGTGGACTGATTTGGAGTTTCATGTTAGTGCTACCTTTAATTACATACTGTAGCTTTAAACCCTGGAATTGACACTGTGGTAATTTTTCAGTAATAACAATTATATATATATATACCTCTCTATACAGTGGTTTTCATTGTTAGTGGCGGGGTCCGCAATGCCTGTGCAGGATTCACACTGCATGGATTCAAAGGGTGCCGATGCCGATTCACATTAAAAGTTTTCATTTGGCAAAACAAAAAGTAAAAAAAAAAAAAGTTTGTCTTCCCCCTTAAAAGTGCATTTTGTTATATCCCGATTATATCTTTTGTTTTTCGTTCATCCCAGTGCCATAGTCAGGTACATTATACTGCCAGTACTGTAAAAAAAAAAAAACACCATAGTGGTATAGCCGGTCTTTGTGCTGTGAGGAATGTGGTTTATAAAAATGGTATTTAGGTGAGAGAGCAGCAATGCCAAAGTCACTCTACCAAAAAGTGAGTGTCTGTATATACTTGCAGAAGTTATACCGAAAGCTATGTTAGGCATTTATTGTGTAAATTAAGCTCATATATCAAATCAAATTTATTTATATAGCACTTTAAAAACAACATCCAGGTGACCAAAGTACTTTACATAGCAGAATAAAATCACAATAAATGACTAAAATAGAATAAATAAAATCAGTGCAAAAAATAAAACAGCACAATAATATTAAAATTAAAAGGAATGCATCAGGCCCTACTGTGTATTAAAAGCCAAGGCAAATAAATGTGTTTTAAGTAATGATTTAAAAGTACTGAGGTCAGTAGCTGACCTAACAATAAAAGATAGACTATTCCACAATTTAGGGGCTGCAGCAGTAAAAGCATGATCACCCCAGCGTTTATATCTGGTCCTGGGAACCTCTAAAAGAAAGTGGCTTGAAGATCTGAGGGACCTTGTAGGTTTGTGCCAATACACTAATTCAGTGAGGTAAGATGGTGCCAAACCATTAAGAGCCTTAAAAACGAAAATCAGCAGCTTAAAATCGATTCTAAAATGGACTGGAAGCCAGTACCGGGGTTATATGCTCATATTTTCTGGTACTTGTCAGAAGATGAGCAGCAGCGTTTTGCACCATTTGGAGACGAGTGAGGGAGGACTGGTTAACAGGTAGAGAGCACTGCAATAGTCAAGGCGGGAGGTGATAAAAGCATGGATTGCAATCTCAGAATCATTAAAAGAAATGAATGATGACTTCACTTAACAACCTGAGGTGGAAGAAGCTTGATTTCATAACTGAGTTGATTTGTTTGTCAAACCTCAAGTCACCATCAAACATCACCCCTGGATTTTTTATAGTCGACTTCAGGTGTCGAGCCAGGGGGCCCAGACCCTGGTTAGAAGAAGTTAAGTTCGCCAAATAGCACACACTCAGTCTTATTTTCATTGAGATTTAAAAAGTTAAGTGCCAACCATGATTTCAAGCCTGTCACACAGTCAAACAATGGCTGTAATGACATCCCTCTTGTATATTGACTTAATCTTCTGGTTTGTCCAGGTATACTCATTTTTATCAACTGTACCTATGTGAAGTGGGGAACTCTGCTTCAGGACATTTTCACTTATGCCAAGCTCATGTCGCTCCTCCTCATCATCATTATAGGAATCCTGAAATTATCTACTGGTAAGCTCAAATAAAAAATAAATTCATCTGATGAATACGGTCAAATAAATGCCATGTGATTCGAACTGTGGTTTCTCTGTGCAGGAGAAACAAAGAACTTTGAGAATCCATTTGAGGGCTCCTCCACAGACCCAGGAGCCATAGCTTTGGCCCTCTATTCAGCTCTGTTCTCCTACTCTGGCTGGGATACCCTCAACTTTGTCACAGAAGAGATTCAGAATCCAGAGAGGTAACACACACACACACACACGTGGAAATACTAAGAGGCAGACTCACTTACAGACTTGTAAAAGCACACGTGAACCTACCTCAACATGTTCACACTTGATTTTACAGCCTGCTTTTGACTGACTGACTACAAATCTGCTCACAACTTTCTTTGTGCTTAGTAAGGATAAATATTAAAGCTAAATGGCTAACAAGGCTCTGACCTGGTTAAATAAGATAATTCAGGTGGTGAAATTATGCTAAAACATAAACCTTAAGTAACAAGCAAGGACTAATTAAAAGACAACTGGTTTTTGGTCTCACTTCACTGTCTTTGTACCAATTTACAGTAATAGTCAGACATTTGTTTACACTTTCTTTAAAGCTGCTACAATCTATCTTTTTATATTAACAATGGATCAAGTGACTATGTCTATGTGAAAAGTGTCACTTGTAGTAATGAACCCATATAGAATAACTGCATGACTCCACTGTTCCCCTCAGCTCAGCAGAGGGTTTTTAGCATCTTCCATCTTAGTGTTTAGATTTTCTGGCCCACAGCTTTAACATTTTAATCTTCACTTGATCAGTCATGTTTCCACAGTGGGTTAAGGAGGAGAATGACAACATCTCCATGGACAGCTCATGGGAATGTTGAATAGTTCCAAACATTAGGAGCAGCGCCATAGAGTTATACTGAATTATCTTCTATCATGTAAAGTAAGAAGTAGAAAACAATAGCAGTGATTATACTTGTGACAGTTTACGGTAAGTTAGTGACATGTGTCAAAACATTTACATCCATTTTACAACCTTTCTCTCACAGATATTGAGTCACTTTAATAATTAGGTACCTAGCTAACTAGTTAAATTAGCTGAGCTGTCTACAAAAACAGAACAGAATTAGTCTGCAGTGCTGTTCAAGTCATTAAAGGTAGTAATTTACTGATAAATCTTGCTATTCCCTACAGAAAACTGTGGATCTGAATCGACTGGAACTACAGTATTTGAAGCTACATGAGTCATGTGACCCATTACCTTAAAGGCCCTGCATATTTGTAGACGCAGCAGGCACCTGTTTACAGCAAACACTCTGAGACACACTCTAAGAAATGATGATGATAAAACACCTTCCCACCACCAAACAGCATACAGACAAAGCAGAACATTTAGCAGCTTAAGGAGCCAGATGTTGTCTTCAGTGTATGTTACAGCTCAAAGAGAGTAAATATTGGACTGGTGCACAGAAACACAACTCCAAATGGACGGCAGTGTTGATCCACAACTGCTGGATGTGCAACTTTCCAAATGTTTGCCAACAGGTTTGCCATATCAGTTTAAAAGGTGAAAAAGCACTGTTCAAAAGCAGCATCTTTTATAAAAGACATCTTCTCTAAGTCATGCTGTAGCACAGCCAGATATAATTCTCACTTATTCTTTTTGTTTAGATGACAAAAAAACTACAGAAATCTGCTTAAGATTACAATTCAATAGTTTGACTACCTGTAAAATAAAAAGGAAAACAGACAGTGGAGGTTTATGACTTACTTTATGACTTCTGTTTTCAGCAGCTTTTCAGATACTAACTTCTCTGTGTGTCATGTTGTTGTAGGAATCTGCCCCTGGCCATTGCCATTTCCATGCCCATAGTGACCATTATCTACCTTCTGACCAATGTAGCGTACTATGTGGTTCTGGACATGCCGTCTCTGCTGGCCAGCGATGCTGTCGCTGTGGTAAGACTCCAAAAGAGAGTTGGTTCACCTGCTGCTAAATATAGTCCATTAGAAATGGTTGATCTTAGACAGTTTGTGCTCTAACATAAAATCAAAACTGCATAGAATAATAATAAAACATATCTGATCAGATTTGTTGGCCCAGAGCCTAATAAAACATATGCATCTGACCCCAAAGACATTTGGGAATGCAGTCCTGGGGCCGTTCAAGTGGATCATCCCTGTATCAGTGGCCATGTCTTGCTACGGAGGACTCAATGCTTCTATCATTGCTGCCTCAAGGTAATCACATAATACTGAACAGGCAATGACTCTGGGCCCATATTGTGATGAGTGGTTTGCCAATAACTTTACATCATTATTGATCGTACAGGTTGTTCTTTGTTGGGGCCAGAGAGGGCCACCTCCCCAAAAGTCTGAGTCTGATCCACATTGAGCGTTACACACCCATACCTGCGCTGCTTTTCAATGTGAGGAACATTTACCTTAAATATGCATGAATGCCAGGTTCCTCAAATGCACCCATGTGCATTTCACTTCAAAGAACAAAAACTGGTTACACAGCATGATGTGTTACTACATGTTCTTTCAGGATGACAGGTAACTGTTCACTGTGCTGTGTGTGTGTCCACAGGGGTTGATGGGTCTGATCTTTCTGTGTGTGGAGGACGTGTTTCAGCTCATCAACTACTTCAGCTTTAGTTACTGGCTCTTTGTGGGTCTGTCTGTGGCTGGCCTCATCTACCTGCGCATCACTCAGCCAGACAGATACAGGCCTGTCAAGGTACGCAGATCCATACTGATTCCATTTACACCACTCAGACATAACATTATGACCACCTGCCTCATACACTGGAGTTAAACTGACATCATTTCTGTAATAGATCCAGGAAACAATATTTATCAATTGCAGGTATATTTATAGTAACATTTACTTTATATTCATGATTCAAGAATCAAACATGCTCATGCAATATGTGCATGAAATGCAGGTTGGCTGTGCTAAAAAGGGTAGTGTACAATAAAGAATAGGAAAATTAGGTAACTTTTACCTTTGAACTCCTCATCTAGTGTTTATAAGGAGCATACAAATAAACATTATTATAGCGAATTCATTATATTACCATGTGTTTTAATTTACTGACATTCATTATCTGTCTATACCCTGGCGTCCACTTAATGAAATGAAACGAACTAAAATGCAACCAGAAAAGAAAAAGTAAAACTAAAGATTAGAAGAGCATTTTTCAGATGTGTGCCATGTGTAAGGTAAACTATAAAATCAAATGTACAGGCAACCAAAGGATATAGGACTTCACCATCCTGATGGTTTTTGCTTTATCCTGAAGAGCCTGTCGTCCAGCCCGACCTTGGTAACCTTTGCTGTGATAAATTAATAAAGTAACTCAGGTGTTTGTTTACAACCAAAATTATAACCCCGAGGAGAAAGTTTGGTGGGTATTCATTAGGCAGTTTCCATAGCATAAGTACTGGCTAGAACCATTACTCTGCATGTACTGTAAATATATGTAAGCACACATACATCGGGTTTGGCAGATTAACCTGAAGTGTGTCTTCTTCTCTCCACAGCTGACCTTGTTCTTCCCCTTCATCTATTGTCTGTGCAGCCTGTTCTTAGTCATCATCCCTCTGTATGGAGACACCATCAATTCTCTCATAGGAATTGGCATTGCGCTCTCTGGGGTGCCGGTCTATTATGTGGTCATTTACCTGCCTGAAGAGAGGAGGCCCAAATTCATACACAAACTGAACAGTAAGCTTTAGACTCAGCTGTGCATGTACAGAAATGTACTAGGATGTGCATTTGAATCTTTTCTAAGGTATGATTATCAGTTATATACTGCCCTGTGTTTGGTTAGCCTTTTGCAACAATGTGCAGAGAAAATGATGAAAGGGAAACATGTTTCCTGCCCACTAGTGTTTTAAGATATGAGCCATGTAGGATGAGATCACATTGTACTGTATATCAGTCTTATCAGTGTCCAACACAATTTTATATCAAAATGCACCATTACTCATCTGTAATTATAGCTGACCTCTTCACTCTCTTTGTCTTTTCCCATTCCTTCATCCACACCTTCTTCCTCTTGCTCTTCTAGCCTTTGCAACCAGATACACCCAGATGCTGCTTTTCTGTTGCCTGACCGAAAATGACGCAGAGACAGAAACACAAGCAGGTGGTGAAACCCAGCGAGCCTTTCATTAGCTGCTTTTTTTCTCCCCTTGAGGTTTCAGTCTCAATGAACAAAGCCTAGCATGGAGAGAATGTGGAGGGCGCAGGCTCACAGTGTGTACGAGCGTTACTTTTGTCAGGTTGGATTAAAAAAGCCCTGACATCTCAGGTGACTCCCTTCACAGGAGCAGGTGCTGGAGAAACTCCAAACTGCCTTGTTCTGTACACACGATATAATTAACTACAGAGCTCCAGGAATATCTTCTATGAGGATTTTATTGAATTGTGGAAAAGATATGGAGGCTAGCTCAAGCTCACATTTTATTTTTGTGTGATGATGATGAAAGCTGATTTTTTTTTTTTTTTGGTCTGTTTAAGAAAATACATTTTAAAAAATCTTATCTTTCTAGGATTCAGTCAATTGATAGTCCTCAATTTGCAGAAGTATATATCATTTCTGTCATTTTATCCAGGGTTTTTTCAAAGTTGACTACATGTTTATATGTAAACGCATGTGTAAAGCAAGGTAAAATATTCAGTGCCTGAGCAGCTTCACTGCCCTGTTTAAGGGCTGTTAATCATCACGTTAACTGACTGATTTTAGTAAGTTTTCATAATATGTTTCATAAATATAACTGCATAATCACCTGGAGTGTATTCCAGTACTCCTGTTTGTAGGTAAGAATTTATTGTTTATGAAGTTTTTCACCAAAACTTACAAAAACACTCCCGCCCCCAAAGATCAATACAGGAATAAAACAACATAGGAACATAAACACACAACTTACACAGAATCAATAGTTAAAAGAAGGAAGCTCTCCACAAGGGAGAGCTTTTCAAAACATGATAACCTATTCCAGCTAGAGCAAAGGAAACAGGAGCGGATTTAGAAAATTTCAGACAGGGTGGCCAGGCTGGGGTGCAGTCTCAGAGATGGGCGGCACATTTAAAAAAAAAAGTAAATTAAACTCCTAGTTCTATCAGATAATAAATCATATTTTTAAGAATCAAATTATTTTGTGTAAAAATAAGACACACCTTTCTTTAGCTAAATTTGGATGCGCTCCTTGTTTACTCCCGGCCAGGGACATTGCTGCTGCAAAGTGGTTCCCCTCCCACTGCCGAGCCCTCCACAACATAAATGAGTGCAAATATCACACTGTATGCATGTTGTAAGATAAAATTCATTTGACCGATTGGTCTTTAGCGGGTTATCTGTTGTGGTCAGACTGTGCTTCTTTATTATTTTGTATTTTGTATTGTGATTAAACTACAAACATTTTCCACATCATATTTGTATTTTGGGTTAATGGAGTCCAAATAGAGGAGAGTCAGTCACATATCATGCTCTTGTTGTTGGTTTTAGTTTTTAAGATGACAAGCCTGCAATTAATCACTACACATCTCACAAATATTTAATATTATATTTAATACTATATGCGCATCAGTCAAAAGATTCCTGCCGTTTTATTACACTGCATTTATGTACGACAAACCTTTTGCTCCTGGTAACTTAATGAAAACTAGTTTCAAGTAAAATACTAGCTGAATTGAATCATTAGGTAATGTGTTTCCTCATGCTATTACAAAATGTTTTAGGTACTAACAAAAGCCTATATAAAAAAATACACTGTTAACACAAAAGTCTTAGTTACTCTTGCTGCCAGGAGGAGCTCCTCTCCTAAGGTGCAGAGGGAAAATCAATCCCAGGACTGATCCACATGTTTGTTTCCTTCAAGGCAAGGCAAGTGCAGTGCTTAACACAATGGACACTAATACATAAATACATACCCAAAATCAGGTCATTTTCTGACCATTAATTCATGAGCACAGCATGCTATTGAATTTGACTCTAAAATATTTTCTCTGGCTCTTTAAGAGGGAACGGAGAGTTTTGAGTGGTGCACCATCTGAAACTGAAGAACCAGGGGTGTAAACAAAATACTTTATTTTAGTCACTGGCTGGTGGAACGGTATCGTGTAGGCCGAGGAGGTGTGGTTACTGGGCCCCATCTTAAAGCTTTCACTACCAGCCTGTGATGCCTATGTCCTCTACTGGCTGAAAGTGAAACTGTGGCAAGAACATGTCTAAAGATTAGTGTGTCAATATACAGTCTGACATTGCTTTAAAAATTCTTTATTTTTTTATAATTACCATGCTGATAATTAGATGAATGTAACTGGCTCTGCGTGGAAACAAATATGTCTAAACTTGACATCCTTATTTTTCTCCAGAATGCCAACTTTTAAGCAGCACACATGAATACACAGCCTGTCTTCTATTCTTATCACAAAGGGTGATGTTCCCACTGCAGATTTGATCCTGTTTATATCTGTGAGACATTCTCATTTTGGCCTCAAAAGTCTTACTGTAATTTTTGTATTAATCTGGTTTTGAACAGTAACAAGTAACTAAAGTCATAGAATAAATGTATGGAGTAAAAAGTACAATATTTGCCTCTAAAATGTAGTGAAGTCAAAGTATGAAGTAGCACAAAATCTAAATACTCAAATACAGATACTTCAAAATTGTATTTAAGTACAGTACTTGAGTAATTATACTTAGTTACTTTCTATCACTGCCTTTGTGTCCCTTGAGCAATCTTTTATTAGCAGCATGTGACAGTTCTGATGTTTGAATGTGTGTCTAAGTCCTGTCCTTGCTTTAGCAGTGGTTCCACTGTTGTACGAATCCTGGTCCAGAGGCTGAACGACTGACTTTGAATTTTTTGGTCATTTTTTGTGCTTTAATGCCATTTTATGTATTCTACAAGTTGTTGCCACTTCACCCATCGAAACAGGTTCTATCAGTATCAGTGACCTTTGGTTTAAAGTCTGTCAGTGCTCGTGTGAGTGAGTGTTAACTCAAAACTAGAATACTTAAAACCTTTGATGATTTTTTTCCAAACATTTTTGTAACTGAACATGAACATTACTGTTGCATTGTTGTTTTTTGTTCTCATGTTTATTGAGCTTGACATTGAATGTATTTTATTAGGACATACTATGAATATACAGTAAGCAGAACTAAATCCAGAGTTAATATTCTCATTGGCAAACAGTAAATTAAAAAAGACATAGCTGACTTCATACAAAAACACTACAAGGCTATACTGTATTACATGTTTTTTCAACTAGTTCATTAACTGGGTTGAACACCTCTGAAATGTTTCCAGCATGTCCGAATTGTTCAGCCAACAAATGTCTATATTTATACAATTCGATCATGCGTGTACAGGAATGTTTATTTCACAGCTCAGTCACACAGCTTCATATTTAAACTGTAAGCATATCGAATTGTTTATCAGCTTTGAAATCCAGTAAAATGCGTCCAATTTGCAACAGCTCCATCTTATTTATCAGTTTTGTGTTCTTTAAATAATCATTATCACAGTGAATGGGTCTCAGAAATAAAAGTTAATAATAGAAATTGTGGACCAAATGAAGCAATGCTCAATTTAAATTCTCCAACATCCATATTCTGTTCTCAGAGGTGACACTGATCTTCCATTCACACCCACAGATTTCTTTAATGAATAGGAGAAAACATTTTCAGGGGCGTCTCCAAAAGAAAAACTAGACCCACACACGCATACTGAGGATTCTCTTCATCCACATTCAGTAGAATGTGGCAATATATATAACATATTATTTTTCTTTATGTCCTACTCTATGTAATCAAACACAAACTAACCTAAGACATCTTCAGACTCTGGTGAATTTCTTTATAGTGAAAGAGAATTTCATATGTGGTTGGATTTGCTGGATCATGCCATGGAGCTGAAAGACACAAAACATTTTAAACTTGTTAGATTTGAGTCCTGGTTCACCACACGGTCAGTAATGACTGTGTGATATCAGACTTTGTAGGTCACATGGTTTAATGGATGTCTGAGCACAGAAATACAAGAACTGATTGTTAAATTCTGCTTGGTCATGTAAGCATTTTGTGAACAAGGTTAGTGAGGTACCTTGAGTAAGATTGGACCGAGTGTCATGTTGTTTAACTCAGCACTGGACTGAACAGTTGCATGAAGGAGTAGCACAGCTGTGGAACAAGTAAGATACATAAATTCAGGTCTATCCAATTTGTGCTAGAAATTGTAGTGAATCATATCCAGCTGGTTTTAAATGTACTTACTGTTGCTTAATGAATCAGGTGTGGGAAGGTCTGTCTGGATAAAGGGAGTTTTTCTGACTGACGTGGCTGATGTGGTGGAGGAGGGAAAGGACACAGACATTAAAATAAATCTGACCATATTTAAAATCTAGACAGTTTTGCTAATGTAAACCTCAGCTCCATAATATATTCTTTCTTCCTAGTGATTTCTGGCAGCATACTCACTTGTCTGTGCAGCACATGAGGCCAAGCATCCAGCGAACAGGACCAGCAGCAGCATGGTGATTTTTAAAGAATGAAATGTGTCATGGGAAAGTGTTCCTTCTGCTCCCACAGAGCCTCAGGCTGCTTTTGTTCTGTACAAGGAACTGACACTCATACCCAGAGGGTGTGGCAAATACACAACAATACATCCAGAGGCACTCAGCTGGATGGACTCAAGCAGGAAACCAAGTAAGAAAAAAATCTGGGAGTTATTAGGAAGGTAATCTCCTTTTTTAATTGACTTAAGTGAACAGGCCTGCAGGCAACAGATTTAAGAAGAATAAATTTTTTAAAACAGAATATAGTGTGACACCACACACAAACTATTCTAGCATCCTTACACAACTTTAAATATGAACACATTTTAGAACTGTATCCATCAGATAATGCAACACAGTTATTCAGTGCAACTAGGGCCTCTTCAGCTTTTTGCTGCTGCTGCTCGCAGGCGTGGACCGGCCGGAGGTGGTGGGAGGAGTCTCATCCAAGCCCAGTACCACAGTCTTCACTACGGGGGAGCGAGGTGTAGAGGCCCCAGAGCTGCTGCTGGCTGACGACCAAGGCTTCCTACAATATTGAGAAAGAACAATACTGCAAAGTTACATGGGAAAAGCGAGATGCTAAAATCTTCAATCTTGAATGTAGTGAGAACTTCTAACTTTTCATATGTACAGATACAAACAATTTATTGTTTTTAAGAAAGCTGCACAGTCACATGTAGTACAGCCATAATTTTCCTTTTATCATCAGTTGAGTCATACAGATGACAATCTGACAATAAGCTTGCATCATTTCTCTATCCTCAGATTCCTTGGGAAAGAGATTTTTTTAAATAACTGATGACCTGACAGAGGCAGAGCTACGGGCAGAGTTTGTCTTGGAGCTCCGGTGGCTGGTAGCAGTGGAAGGAGGAGACGGAAGAGACAGACCGGCCTGAGAGAAACACACAGTGTACAACCTGTCATGACTCAGTTCTTAATTAGTCTCCAGAATAAAAAAACAATATAATGTCTGTTGTTTAATACCTCCAGGAAAAATTTCTCGAGCACTGTTCTGAGGTCAGGGTTGCCCTCCATGGCCTCATTCAACATCTTATCAAAGCTCCTGTTGAATTCTTTTAACTCCCTGAGCTTAATGTCCTTTTCCTCAAAAGTCTCAGTCTTGGTGCTTCGTGCTGAGCGGATCGCTTTGATCAGTTTAGAGCGCTAGCAAAAGACAGGACAATACAAAATGAAAACATCATTAGTAACTGCTAACAAATGATTGTATTCCAGGATACCTGTACTGTATATATACACATCCTACATGCACACTATGTACCGCTCACTCCCAGTGTATAATGTACACAATATACACTGGGTTGTGCCAAACTAAATGAAAATAATTTTATTGCAGTAATAGCATATTGAACCTGTTTTGTTGCTCTGTCAATTTTCTCTTGCTGGGAAGTGATTTCTTTGCGCAGTTTACTGAGGAGCGATTGTTTGTGATGGATCTTATCTCTCTCCACCTGCTCTTCTTGCAACAGATGCTCCCAATTATTGTTCATGTCCTGGAAAAGGAGAGCAGTACAAAAACACACATGACAACAGGGCGCACACACACACACACACACACACACACACACACAGATTTATGCAAGGTTGATTTCACTGGGGCTGTTGAGTGTTTTTTGTTTTTTGCAGCAGGAACAACACCAAGCTACTTTTATATAAAGATACAAGACATGAACCATTTGTGCTGTAAACCTGGGTGTGTTGTAATAAAATGAAAAGCGTTAAAATGTTAGTAAAAGCATAAACAATTATAAATGAGGAATAAGCAACAATTACCAAATAAAACAGTTTAAAATGTGGGTCAGCTTTATGAGGATGTATTCGAAATGCAACATGAACAGATATGTTCTGTGAGAACTATCATGGGACATGTCTCTGATTTAGATACTGGTCTAGGACCAGTTTCTTTTTCTGCTCGACTTTGGCTGTAAATAGGAATAACCTGTATGTCCAGCTGGAGTTCTTCCACCTGCTTTCTCTTGCTTTTTAGCGTTGCTTCATTTGCCTTCAATTGCTCTTCTAGCTTCAGTTTTTCCTGGTACTCTGGACCTAAAGAAGAAACAGTCTAAATTACCTTGTGACAGGTAAAAAAAAACTGAAATAAACCACATAACATGCTGATAGGAGTGTGGCTGCTGAGATGCTGGTACAGTGTCCTTCCGTCAAACTCGTCATACATACTGGATTCTTTTACTTTGTTGAGGGCTTTGCGAAATTCAGAGTTGCTGTAGTTGAACAGCTGGTTGGTGTTGTCCAGAGCTCGGTTTTCCAGCTCTGTTTGGCGGATTTTAGCAGCCAGACTGTCTCTCTTCTGCCTGAGCTCCTCTTTCTCTTGCGCAGCCTGAAGAAAAAGCACACGGCAGCAGCAGTGATTCAAAGTGTTGGCGTGCATTGGAGGAACACACCGTTGTCATCTTCAACAGACTGTATGTAACATGACTGTGTTTGAACACCTCTCACCTTTGTGATATAATAAGCCAGTGCTTTCTCCTCTTCACCCTCAGGAGCCGCCATTGAAAATGTTAAGATCTCAAAGCGTTTCTTCAGCATGTTGATCTTGGACAGTTTTTCATTCAGTTCGATACTGAAACAGAATTAACTGAAAAATGAAGTGATCATTTTTTCTAAAGGACGCTAATGTTGCTCAGTAACAAACAGATCTGAGGTAACAGCAGGGCTTTTTACCCGAGTTTCCGCCTCTCCTTATCACTGATCTTGAGCTGCTTGCTGAGCACTTCTCGGGCGGCCTTGATCTCCTCCTCCCTGTCCTTTATGATTTTCTGCAGCATCAACTTCCTCTTCTCCAAAGACAGTACAGTGTCTGCTTTGTTGTACAGCAGATCTCTAATACGCTTGACCTCCATCTTCATAATGTTATACTCTACCATGTTGCCCTGATGAAGAACACAAGGTCAAAAGCACATGGCATTGTTACAGATAGTGGTTTCTTACATTACATTAAATCTATGTTTGTAATGTAAAACCCATCTAACATTGTCACTTAATCAATAGAAAACAAATGGCCTAAGCTCTTCCAGAGATCAATCAACATTCACCGATATTCAGGTCCATTATTTGCTGGGTCTGTGTTACCGGTGGTAGCGTTTGTCTATCAGTGTGGTGATTGTCTGACTTTTCCTTTAGTGTCACCCATGGGCAGATCTGGGGGTGGCACTGGCCACCCACATAATCAGATTGGCCACGCCTGGTCAAAATGTGCCTTATAATTGACATTGGTCAAATTATTTCAAATTAAAGCCACTGTGTCTCATTTTAACACAAAATGAACAATTGGACTATTAATTATGTTTATTATTTTTAGAATTAGTTATAGAAATAGTATAGAAATAGCAGTTCCATTTTTTTTATGTCTTTCAAATGCTTCAGAAAAGAATCACCAACCCTACCTTTAACTTGATTCATGACTCTGGATAATCCAAATAATCCTCACAATATGACATCAAATATAACTTGGTGAAAAGAAGCTTTTATGTCTAATCTCTTAAACACAGAAGTCTTAAAATGGTAACCACATGTCAGCAACATAATTTCATGACAACTGCAATGGCATCAGTTACCTGTTTCCTGAGTTGGAGTCTCTTCAGCTCATTTTCACTGGCATTACAGTCTAATATGAGCTCCTCTGTCTTCGTGGTCAGATCTCTCTTTTGAGCCTCTGACTTGTCCATTTTTTTCCTCAAAATGTAAATATCGTCCTGCCAGAGACAGACACACATGACAAGTACTTCACTTTTCACTTTTGTAGAACGCTGAGATCACCAGCAGTCAAACTGACCTCTGACTCTTTCAGTGTGCTAGTAAGCATATTAGCTGTCTTCTTCTTCTCTTCCACCGCTTTGGTCAAATCAGTGATTTTCATGTCTAGCATCTGTTTTTCATCTTGGGGAAGGTCACCTTGCAGCCGTGCCAGTTTTTTACTCAGGCCGATGATCTTAGAGTCCTGTTAAGCAGGAAAGTGAGAGGAAAATCTGATGCATGTACTGTACTGGTATGGTATGGTAGAGACTAGCACCAGACTGGGAAAAGCTGGGTAGTCAGACATATGTACAATATTGGTATACTTTCCTGTTCTGTAATAGTCATCTGCTGTTTCATTAAGTCGTTGTCGAGCTTTCTGAGCTGGCTTTCCAAATTGGTGATAGTGGATTTGCTCCTTGAAATCTGGGCAACAGCATCCTTCTCCTTTGTTTTCAGGCCCTGTAAATGCTCTTTACTACGAAACAGCTCCTCCCTACAGTCGCGCAGCTGCACATCCAATTCCTACAGTAAAGCACAGGCCAACAAAGCGTTACACAGTACAGTACACAGCTATGTCATCAAGGACAATAACGACCTTGTCATATGTAAAACCAATTCCTAAAGTACAACATTTTTCTTAGCGCATTGTGAACAGGCATTAACACTGATGTCCAGAATCTGCAGCCAAGGGGGAAAAAAATCTAGCAATTTCCTGCATTTATAGATTTATTCAAGTGAATAATGAAATGATCTGGAATGATGGAATTAGCTATCATGCTTTCTCCATAACAATGCTGATGAAACCAAAAAGAGAATTATATCTCTTAATTATAATAATTATATATTGATTATTATTATTGATTGGCAGCAGAAACTGTTGAGCAATTCATGAAAACAACAAGTTTGATGTGCACTGAGGTTTCTGTGGATATTTTGCAACAATGTGGTGCTTAATGACCAAAACCTAACCAATGAAAGTGTGGCTTAACTGTGCACAAAATCACTCCTATTAGAGACAGCAGATGGAACAAATACCTGCTGCCTTTAAATGGCTGTAGAAATAAAGGAAAGGCTGTCAAGTATAGACTACCCACTCATTGTTGTACATTTCAGAGATGGCAAGGATAACTTAATCATTTTTATGCTTGCCAGTCAACCAGGATAACATTTTTGTCTGCCCATCACACGTCAGTTGTGATGGGCAGACAACTAAGACAAATAAGCAAAAGACAAACAACAGAGGTTGTGTGATTTTGGAGAATTTTATATGGGTGTGATTTCACCAAATAAAGTGACCAAAATACTGCAGAACAAAGCTGTGTTGAGCAGTTGACCTGCTCTGGGCACTGAGATTGCTGTGATGGTAATTTATTTCTGAAGGCTTTATGCTTGCCCCTGTTGCTGTTTGAAATCACTGGTGCCCCGTGTTGCACAGTGCAGTAGTAAATCAATGGCCAATATTTTGATTGTTTCCAGAAGCTATGCACAAAAAAGAATGAATAAAGAGTATGTGGAGATGCAAAAAAGAAAAACTGAAAAGGAAGCTGTAACATGTATGACAATCATTCTCTTCCAATTGCACCATAGCAAATGAACAGTTCATGGTTCGAGACATTAGGCCACCCACCTTGATCGCCTGCTCCTCATCCTTGAGATACTGGTCCAACTGGGTAACTCTCTCAGCCTCACTAGGAGCAGTCTGACTCACAAGTTTCAGCTTCTCTTCCAGTGCAGAATTGTAGGCCCTGGCTTCCATGAGTCTGTAACACACACGTATACAGACAGAGCTTGTGTACTAAAGCACACAAGTAGTAGAGCTGCCATTTTTTGACAGAGATACATTATAAGATTTCACTGACTTCCTATTTGAATCCTGGATGTCTTTTTTCATTCTGGATATGTTAGATGTAGCAGACGCCACATCAGAGGTTGTTTTGTCCAGTGTACCTTTGCAAGTGTCAAGCTGTAGGACAAATGAGAATGAATTCAGTCACTCTTACAATAAGAGCTCGATTACAGATTAGGTTTCTGATGAACTTAACACTCTTAGACCACACTTTCAAAAGATGACCTCATCCTGTAGCCTCCTGCAGTTATTCTCCTGCTCCTTCAAGTCTTGCCGGAGTTTTAGAGCCTGTCGGTTGGCTATGGTTGTCTTTCTCTCTATTTCCTGGTTGTTGTTCCTCTGTGTATCCAGCAAATGCTTCATCTGTGTGATGGTGGCATTTCTGTCCCTGATGTACTGGTTGGCTTGGGCAAGTTGCTGGAAAGACAAAGGAGCAATACAGGAACACAAACATGCGGTGACACTCAAGCGTACCATACAATGTGCTTTCACGTTTTGTTGGCTGTTACTGTTCAGAAGGTTGGTTTGAATCAGAAGCACAAGGTCACAGTCTTTACCAGGGCACACTGCTGCATCTCAGAATCTCGCTGCTTCATCTGCTTTATGGTGTTTTCCCACTGGTGGATGAGCTGCTGTGTCTCCAGATGAGCCTGCTGCAAATTCTCGGTAGTCTTATCCAAAGCAATCTGTTACAAAAGCAAAAACAAAAACATGTCATAGAACCTGTGAAATAATATGATTTAAAGATTTCAGATTAGTTCACAGTAAGTGTAAATAATGATGTTTTAATCAGGTATAATTAATTGATTGTCCATTATGACCAGTATAAGGTCAGGTCTCTGAAGGAAGTCTGATCAATCTTGGCTGATACGAGCCATCCCTTGTGGGGTGAATTTATGTTGTCACCATCAGGGAGCAGATACAATCTGCTGCGATGCAGAATGAACAGGTTCAGAAGATTAGTTGTTCCTGTTCCTATCATTCTTCTTAATGACACTTAGTCTGTGTCTGGTATTGCTGTTATTTGTTTGTTTTTTTTATACTGACTGTGAATCAAATTGCCCCCTGGGGATAATAAAGATACTTTGAACCTTGAGGTTCAATACCCTGGGACATAAATGTTGCACAGTCAATTGTTTTAATGCCAAATCAAATTTTATTTTTATAAACAACCATCTAACCAGTGCCAGTGGCTGTTTCACTTTCCTTCTTTCTCTCAACAAAGCAGAATTTATTTCACTAAAATAATGCAAAATTGTAAAAAAAAGTCCACACACTGTCTCGCTTAGGCTGAATATTTTATTAAGTCCACAACGTTTAATTCTATATAACCTTTACAAGGTATCTTTTTTTCTTTTTTTACATTTTTGCAATTTGCTGTTTTCCCCTGACACGCCTGTCACACAGTCAGGTGCAGAGTTTTGTCAGTTTTTTTCAAAGTTTACTGAAATAATAAATGCTCATGATGCTACTTGGTTTATTACAGTAAATATAAGCTGGACCTGGTTACTATAGTGAGAATGCGGCAGCACTATAAAATCAAAATGTGTAACAAACACAGGCAAGAATCTGCCACAAAAACAATAGGAATTGCATTGTTTTCTCACTGTACCTGTGCAGATGTAGTCTCAGCCTTTTCTCTGTCAAGTACTTTGCGCTTTTCATTGGCGTCCAGTGTCTTCTTCTCTATACCCAGAGTGAGAGACTGAACAGGGAGATATCGATCTGTTAGCTCAGAATGAGTCCGAGCTATCAATGGGAGTTTCTTTTGTATGTAACTTTACCTTGATCCTCTGCTCATCTTGCTGAGCGTACTTGATAATGGCCATAGCATCCTCATCTCTGCGTGCCGACTCCTCCAAAAAGGCATCCATGGTCTGCTGGTCCCAGTTCATCTGGCTCCTAAACTCCTCTAGCTTCTGTTTGGCCTTGAAGATTTGGTTCTGATGATGAGGACAAAGGTTAAGTGGCACATTGTCGCACCAGCAGCTATAACAGTTTCTATATTTCTACATAATGCTGTTGATGTGTAGACCTCTAGCACGGTTGCCCTCTCAGCCAAAGATCGCTGCTCATTCTCCATCTTAGCAGTCTCTTGTGCCAGGCGACCGCTCTCTCTCTCTGCGAGGGCTGTAAGGTGTCTCTCCATCTCTATTTCTCTTTCCTTGGCCTTACACAAAGCCTACGTACAGAAACCCAAAATGAGACATTAACACACTCTGACACAGTGACTTTAGCCCAGTTACAGGAAGGGACACACATCCGTGTGACACATAATACAACATTCATTCTGATAAACCTACCTCTAAATTTTCCACCTGCTGTTTACCAGTTTTGATGAATTCAGTCATTAACTGCTTTTGCTCTTTGTTTTTCTCGAGTCTGTTTTCCACTTGCACCAACTCTGCCTGTTTCTTATGAATCTGTTGTTGAAGAAGTCAGCACATTAAAACATATCACATTCAGCACGTTTGCTTTATTTGCTGTGAACAAATTTGACCACGTTATGCTAATTCACAGTCAGAACAGCTAGTCAGTTGGCATTACTAAGATTTCAGTGGTGTTGTCATAAATAAATAGTAAGCTAGCTATAACTTTCCCGCTCACCTCGTCTAGCAGAGCCTTGTTTTCAGCGTTGAGTTCGGGAATAGCGAAGCGCTTATCCCAGCTTATCTCAGATAAGGCTGCAGATAAGGCTGTGTTAAGAACATCCGACATTTTCCTGCTGCTTGACTAATCCTCTACAAAGTAACAAAACACTAATTCAAAGAGATAAATGCTTCCACTGAAATACTATCAAGCGCCGCTTTGAGGAGTTTCCCTTCCCACTTGCTGTTGAATCTGTCTGTTGCCAGTATCCCTTAGCAACTGCACGTGCTTTGTCATGTTGTCACCACTAGGTGGCATCGCGAGACTACGAGGAGTGTCGATCCCGGTTGGAGCTTTACGTTTTACATACAGTCAACAATGAACAGCACTCAGCATGAACGTTACTGAATCTATACATCGTATATAATACTCAGAAGTAACTCAAAATGTAGCATATATAAATAAAGAACACAACAATCACAACCCCATCCCAACTTATTTTAAGGATTAATCGGACAGTCTACCCCAAACCAAGGTTTCAGTTTATAGGACTTTAAAAACAGATCTTAACTATTTCCTATATAATATGCCCAATTAGATTTGGTGTATCCTTCAAAAATAATAAAAGCTGGAAAGGATACAAACAAATTACTTTCCAATCATGTGAAACCATGACTTCTACTCCACCATTTGAAAAACCATTGCCTCACAGCGAGAAGGTTCTGGGTTCGGGCCCCACCCGGAACCTTTCTGTGTGGAGTTTGCATGTTCTCCCCGTGCTTGCGTGGGTTCTCTCCGGGTACTCCGGCTTCCTCCCACGGTCCAAAGACATGCAGCTTAGGTTGATTGGTGTCTCTAAATTGCCCATAGGAGAGTGTGTGTGCGCGCGTGTGTGTGTGTGTGGGGTTGTTCGTCTCTGTGTTAGCCCTGCGATGGATGGGCGACCTGTCCAGGGTGTACCCCGCCTTCGCCCGATTGCCGGCTGGGATTGGCTCCAGCCCCCCGTGACCCCGTTCAGGGACTAAGCGGTAGAAAAAAAATGAATGAAAATCAGAGAACAAATACAATACCTCTACTATCTCGGATGTCATTTGACCATATTGAATACATTCTTCAGATTTCCAAAAGACCTCAGTGGCCCCAAAACATCAAAATCTGCAGTAGGCCTACTCAGGTTACTGAAAGGGACTTGGTGAACCTTTATTTACACTCAGTTAGTAGGTTATCAGGTACAAAAAACTAATCCAGTCTATTACAACAGATCCGCAATATATTCTTCCTAATGCTCAACTTATAGCAGTGAGGTTAGGCTCAATAACTGAAACACCTCTCTGTACAACACAGTACAGTTCAACAGCAGCAGATCTTCAGGCTCCAAACTGATCATACTGTTGAAACACCTCTCTGAAATAGTTTAAACAAAAATGCTATCAACTTCATGAAGGGGGAGGACTTAGTGCATTACTGTTGTATTAGACTGCATTACTTAGGTGTACCTACTAAACTGTCAACAGTGTGTGTTTTATCTGAAACACAGAGACCTGTCAACTTTAAAGATACCAAATTGAAACATTTATTTTATCTTTATACATTTGTGTTTAAACAAACTGCATTATGCTTAAAAAATTACAATCAGTGTTCTATACTGACTTGTCACACAAATGCGTCATAAAAACAAAATCAGGAATGCACACAAAAGTATTAAAATTCATATTTTAAAGAACAACATCCCATGGCGTTTAGATCGCCATTCATGTCTGACCTGCTTTTGAGCAGAGCCCTTCCAAATTAACAAACGATGTGGGCTACAATGGTGACTCCTCTCTGGTTGGCATGAGTGCACACAAAACACCCAATACTTTAGATACAATTCCAAACCACCACAAGATGACCAACAAAGAGATATGCCTTTTTTATATATGTACACACACACACACACACACACACGCACACACACACACATAAATTCTCTGCTGTGTAAAATATTTGAGTCCTGAGGTTTGAAAAGGCAACATAGTTCTCAGCTCACTGTGGTCACCTTGTCCTCCATTCACAGCACTCTGTTATGTAGAAATATCACATGACTGTTCCCTCAGTGAGAGCAGACAGCCCTTAAACTGCTGTGCTTTTGGTGCCTATGTGTGGTCGTGCAAACTCCACAAAGTCGTCAATCAGGACAGGCCATGCTCCTATTGATGAAACAAACAAAAACCATTAAAGAATTTGACTTTGCACAACACATTCATAACAGTGATGTTTTAAACCACACTAAAAGGTTGTGAGGCAACAATTATGGTTCTTATGTTGCCACAGAGTGACAAATTGGCTGGTTTGGAGCTGAATGTAAACACTGTACAAACCTTCCTCATCATAATTTGACATGTCATCTGTAATCATTGTGCTGAAGTCTAGTAAGAGGTTCCAAGTGTCCTTAGGAATTGATCTTTTGTGATGCTCCTGCAAAAGATGAACACTTAAGTTGAAGCTACATGATGAGAAGAGTATTGTTTTTAGAGTATTCAGGGTTAGTATTAACTCACAACTAAAAATTTGTTCCACAAGTCCAGAAACTTAAATCTTCCACCCAGTACTAAATTCCAATATGCGATTGCCATTTCTAAATCTGTAAGAAAACCAGAAATAGGTCAATATACATTCAATAAACAAACAAATAGTTAATATGAGGAGCACAAGTAGACTCTTACCCAAACCTTTCTGGCCAGGATTCTTTGCGAAATTAAATGTAAACTGGTAAAAGTCCTTAAATTTCCCTTGGTCCTTTAACTCTTGCTCCATCTTTGGCAGCTGAGCTTTTAATTTCTCTATACTGTCACACCTGAGAAAACATAAAGCAAACTTATTTTTGCTGGACAAACATAAATGCTTTTCTAGTGGATTACATGCATCTTAGTTTGTTCTAAAACTGTGCAATTGATAAGATGCATACACACCACTGATTTGTCAAAAAGAAAATTAACAAAACCTGAAAGTTGCACATTGGCACACACGTTTTGCAGGAAATTTTGTATGTAGATAGAACATTTCAGTATTCAAAAACCTGTGGCTAGAGATGGCAGTTTTGACACCCAGGATCGACCCATTTTGAAGTTGTTCAGGACATCCAGTCACAAGGTGAGGTTTACGACACTGTTTCGAAACATCAGTCACGACCGCTGCAGTGATGTTACGTTCTACTGTCTGCTATGCTGAAGTTCAGCTTTTTGCTAGCAGTCTGTGTGCAGCCAATGTTTCTAAACATTCACTGTTTCAGATGTATCAAAACTGATTTGAAGATTCGAAATTGCCATCTCTAGCTGTGGCTTGCTAACATGTTTGAATAAACCTGAATAAATTAGTGGTTTCTTCCAGGATGATAGTGCCCGCATCCACCGGGCACAAGGGGGCATTGAATGGTTTGATGAGTATGAAAATTATGTGAATCATATGCTGTGGCCTTCGTAGTCTCCAGATCTCAACGCAGTTGAACACCAATGTGAGATTTTGGAGTGATGTGTTAGACAGCGTCTCCACCACATCATCAAAACACCACATTAGGGAATATCTTTTGGAAGAATGGTGTTTATCTCTTCAATAGAGCCCAGAAACTTGGAGAATCAATGCCAAGGTGCACTGAAGGTGTAGTGATGGCAGGTAGTGGCCCAACGCCTTACTGAGACGTCTAGACATTATAATACACTTCTCCTTTAATTTGACACCCATCTGTATATACATGTAAATGAGATACAGTTTAAGTTTTCGATGACTGCACAGCTGTCATCTTAACAATAAAATCAGTGCTTCAGCAAACAACTCAAAAAGGGTCATAGAGTAAGCATTGTTAAACTGATATATACATTAAAGAGCCCATGGCATGCTTTCCATATTTTTTGACTTATCTACAATGTTACAATGGTGAATTATCATCTTAGACATGACCTAAAGCTCAAAAAATGAGGGGTACATATGTTCTAGTACTTCTATGTAGAAGCAACTCAGTTTATACAAGTCTCACAAACTCTCACTCGCGAGACTTTTTTTTTCTAGCAAAAAGTATTACATATTACATATTACATATTACCTGACCGGGTCTAACCTACAAGCAGCCGGGCAGTGGAGCCCCCTGGGGCAGTAAATGATCAGCTGATCATGGCTGGATTCCCCCGGAGCACAGTGCCAGTTTGCTTTGACTGCTTGAGGCCAGTGTGTCTGCTGCATGTGATGTTTTGCAGGTTAAGGAGCAGATTAATGACCCATGATGTTAATGTTGGTACTTCGCTACCTGTTGGAATTAATTTTACTACTTTGGGACTGTATGTGGTTATGTGGGGGAAGACGCAGTGACCACTGGTTGGATTTACCGACCTTGGAGCTACTTGAAAGGCAGTGATGTTTCCACTAATTGGTGGGACTTAACGACAAGTAAAAAAAAAAACGCAGGTTGCATGTCTGTTAACGCCTTGTTTCTGTAAAGTTAGAAAAAACTGTTGTAAGGCTGGAGAAGTTACTATATCTGTGCTATGCCAGTTAAAATATGGGGCCTCTCAATTGCCTGTTTTGTTTAGAGTGTTACACATCTCTTTTCATCTGTACGTATAACATTGTTTACCTATCTATGGAGGAAAAATTCAAATTGATTGCTTTTGCAGCTCCTTGTGCTGTTCACTTTCAACACAACACCAGCAGCAGGAGGTGTGCCCATTCACGAACTATCCTCTAATTTTTAGGAAGAGGCTCTCTGGTTTTATCATTCTGAAGTAAATACAGACTATTTGGAGTTATGATGGGTGCAAAGCTAATCAAGAGGTACCCAAGATCAAACATTAAATGGCTGGAAATGAGCATGTCGTGGCCACTTTAATGAAAATGACATCTTAGTCACACAATTGAGGGGCATTTTAGGTCCACAGTATGTACTGCAATCCTTTTATGGCTCTCAGATACACTTTTTATGTCAGTCATACTTTACATTTGAATTATAGCTGCCCGCATGTTTGTGACCTGTGAGTTAATGACCTTTAAGTCTGCTTTACTGAAAACAGAGGAATGATTTCAGAAGAGCACTCTAAGTTTGTGCTTTCTTGCATTTACCATCACAAAATACATTCTCACCCCTGTTCAGCCATGCCGTCCATGAACTCCTGCTTTGAGAACTCGCACTGTGTTGCTGCCCTGAACTTCCAGGCTATGAGGAGGACACTTATACTGGCTGGATCTAAACCCAGGTCGTCACAAAACAGCTGGATCCCATCAATGCCGATTTTGTTGTCATCATGAGGATCTAGGGTTAATGTGTGAAAAGCGATTTGATTTTCAGCTCACAGCCAAAAGGGAAAGGCTTTTCCAAGAAATTCACTCAATATTTGCAGTGCTGCATTGTGTGATTTTTTTCTTCTTATGTATAAAATTTGTAACAAAATGAAAATTGCAATTGAGTATTGTAGTGTATATGCCGTGTGTATATATACACCTCTGTATCTGTTGTATAGCTGCTCAAGCTTCTTCTTGTCAAATGTGCCCTTTAGATTTGAAACATAGAGCTCTGGATTTTGGAAAAACTTATCTGTGGCAACATCTAGTTTCCAGTCGTTCTGTGCCAGACAGGTTAGTGCAGTCTTCTCATTTGATTGTGTAAAAATCATGAACTGACGAATTTTATCCTTCTGTGAGGACTTCAGCTTGTTCTACACAAAGACAAGCACACAAAACTCACATGTTGCTGCAGTAAAGCACGGTTAGACTATTTTGTCTCATTCAAAAACTATACGAGTTGTCAAAAAATAAAATAGTTCAACAACAATACACATATTGCTGCAGTATTCTTATCATTCAAATTTTCACATAATAGCCACGAAGGGAAGGCTAGTTGTTAGCTACATAAACACTGACCCATGGTGATACTACAAAAAAAACAAGAATATGAAAACTAGCAATAAAATGTATCTTAACAACAGTGACCGACTTTAAATGTCCCAATTAACTAATATCTTTCATGTTACATTTAAAGCACTGCAGAAGCAATCTAGTGATAATCCTGTCCTGTCGACAACAACTCATAGCTAACGTCGCGGCAGTGTATGTAATTTTGTTTGTCAGATGGCTTAAAAGCTAGCAAGAACAGCCAGCTACTAGGCGAACTGGCTAGTCTTATCGTAAGCTAGTTAGCTAATGCTAACGTGGGAAGCTACAATTCCTTTCACTGTTTTTGGATTATTTTAATAATCCATTGTAACGTGTTCTGTGTGTAAACACTGCTTACATTTACATCACAACACTAGGATAAAAAAAAGTAAATTCTTACCATGTTTATCTTCGCCCGACTCCTTTTCCTCCCATCCAGCTGGCTACTGCGGGTAAAGTTTTCACGAGTCACGTGAAATGTTATTCCGGTTGAACCAATACTCTTCAAAATAAAAGTACTAACTACCTCATACCTTTATGAGGCCGTATTCTAAGTTGTTAAATTGTTACATTTTACCCTATTATATTCCAATTTTCTGATACATGGCACCCGGTTATTTTAACACTTTATAAGTGTCAGACAGCCCTGATATCAATGTGGATATATTAACAAGAGTCTTTATTTTGAAGCAACATGCCGGAAGGGACTCTCGAATTCATGAACATAAGCTCATTCCTCCATGTTTGGCCTCCAAGCCGTCGCTCTGGATGTTTAGAACTGCATTGAAAGCATTTAAGAACAAATGGAAGTGTTACAGGCACCGATTTGTGCCTTGGGTTGTACTGAACCTGTCTAGAAATGAAAAAACCCTGCGGCAGGTGACGGAGCGCTCGAAAGACAAACTGGTCCCAGATGAGGAGGTGTTACAATGCCTGCTGAAGCTCTTCAGAGCCCTGCTCAGGAGTCCCGGAGCTAATCATGGGGAGCTCCGAGCAATTCAAACTCACTTTCTCCAGCAGGTAGCAAGTGAAGAACAGCAGTGTGGAGGATATCCAGTGTGTAGACATGATGCTATGTTACATTCTCTGGGATTCAGCATTGACCGGAAGTCTAGCATTTTGCCCTCTGCAGGAACTGGTGTGTTTGTCACCAAAGGATTTGTACCCAAAGGAGCTACAGTTGCGATGTACCCTGGCACAGTCTATCAACCCTATGAGCCCATTCTCCTCCAATCCATCAGAAATCCTTTTGTATTTAGGTGTATTGATGGTGTTTTGATTGATGGAAATGATAAAGGCATCTCCAAAATGGTGTTCAAGTCATGCAGTGGCAGGGACAGAATAGAGCCCTTTGCAATGAGTGACACAAGCTGGCTGACAGCCAATCCACAGAATCCACTTGCTGTTGGTCAATATGTGAACAACTGCTCCGATGAGTGGCCTGCAAATGTGTGCTACCAGGAGTATGATGTGCCACATCGGTTTCCCATTGAGCTCCGTCAGTATCTCCCTAATGTCAACTACAGCCAGGACACACAGAGGCCTCTACGCTGTGTTGTCCTGGTATCACTCCGAGACATTACAGCAGGGGAGGAACTCTTCTCCAACTACTACACCATTGTGCGTTAGAGTCAGTGTACACACCGCTTTTATGCTTTGGCTTCAGGACTGAAATAACAAGTATATTTTTTTGTAATTCAAACATTGTTATTGTCTGTAGTCAAGGGCAAAGCACCCTCATTTTTTAAAGGCATCTTATATGTACACTCAGCAATACACAAGAATAAAGTCAAAACATGTTTGTATGGTTTATTTGTAATATGCATGAAACAAAACTTCTGTTATTTGACAGTGTTGTCAGGTATTATAGGAATATAAAGATCAAAGATTAGTGAAACAGCATCTTCATGTTTTGAGTACCATGTTTAAAGAAGTATTAAAGTAGCAATACTACAAATTTAAAGTACACCAAGTTCTGCATTGACTAATACAGTACATTGTTAGTCAAATGGTAAAAATTTCAATGTGTTGTCAGCAAAATGTGCCTAAATATCCAAAATCAAAATGCTTATTATGCAGAATAACCATTTTGGAGTGTTATTACTGATATATTGATGTGCACAGCATGTTATGATAGAAGTGACATTAATACAGTTTAATGTATTATAGTGCATAAAGTTGCTCATGTTTTGGGTTATAATTTAATGGAACCAGTAACAAGCTTTCAAATTAAAAAGTATCATGTTTTCCTTCTCAATGTAACGGGGAACTATCCAAGTAAAGTACAAGTACCTCAAAATTGTATACAATTCTTGAATAAATGTGCTTAGTTACAATTTCCATAGTAATGGAAACCTAGACAAGGAGTTAACAGATTTCTGCAGACAAGTCGGGACCAAATGTTCAAATACAAGTTCAGTTTTAAAAGTGTACAAATTTTGATATCACAGGGAAATCCATGCACACATTTTGTTCAGTCACAGATCAAAGTTCAGTTCAGTTCAGTTATATAGGGCAAAACAGTAGAGGGAACAATCTCCAGACACCCACCGTTAAATGGATTTTAAATCAGAATAGGGTGTACAGCGAGTTCTCTATGTAACATCAGTGGACTTAATCCACCACTTAGTATGACAGAGAAATGCAAGAAAGGTCAAACAGATAAAGTAGATATTTGTTTTAGTGTAACAAGGATATGAGTGAAAGTGAGAGCCTGAAAAAAACTGGAGAAAAAAAGACATTTCTAGTAGAGAGTGGAAACTGGCAATAGAGAATGATGTAATATCTGGTGTCAAGAAGGAAACATTACCCTGATTTTTTCATACAGCTTACTGGAACACAAAAAGTCTTCGGACAGCAGCTGAAGAAACAATGATTGTTAAGACAGGTTTGTCTCTCCAATCAGGTTTTTTGAGAGGTACTAAGTAGGCTATATAGTCTGTCTCTTTACTCCACCTGTTTCACTACACAGACCAGTTACATAGGAGAGGGACTGTATACTTGTCAGTTACTGTTACTCTGAAAAAGAATGCATTAAACAGGCCACAACTGTGATTCACAGCTGTGGTTCACTGTTAAGCTGTACCACAGAATCCAACTTAACGCATTACTCCAGGACAAATGGTAAAGGTAATGACAAAGATTGCATTCACTGCTGGATTTTCAATTTATTTTTTTATTTTTTTGATTTATTCTTTCTTTCAAGCATGTAATAACAGTTGATATGTCAACACACATAATTTTACACATATCCAACAAATGCTAATCCAATATCAATGTGCTTATACCTAGAACATGCTTGAATGGAGTAGGAAGAAGTCAGACTTATCCAGTCCTACCCCATGACATCATCTTATCATCATTGGTTTGCAAGCAGTATCTCTACATAAATAATTCTCTTCTACACCACACAAGTAATATACTAAAAAAATATATAACAGAGTGTTAACATTCTTACATAATTACAATCTTAAATAATTATCTTCTACACCACACAAGTAATATACTAAATAATTATTACACTGTGTTAACATTCATAATGACGGTGGAGTCATACAAATTTTCTTTTAGTTTATCATCTTGTTCTTACTGTACTACATTTCATTCTATTTATTGACTTGGCCGGTTGCACTGGCCTCACTCGAACCCCCTCTCCAAATGTTGCACAACCTTTCAGGCCGAGTTTTGACCTGTCCGGGACACTGTAGCAGCCCAACCTCAACTTATTACTGCAATATCCGTCCGCTAATAAATATAGTCCAGAACAAATTTCACATTTTAATTGGGTACTGACATATACCTTTGTATATAACAAATAGTAAAGAAACTGTAAAGTCACACAAACATTAAAACAGCCAACTGAGAGCTTGTTCTAGACAAAATCGAGCAGTACGTCCATGAGTGAAAATAGTCCGGGTGCATAAAGGCAGTTGGCAGCGCCATCAGCGATCTTTCCAGTCGCATGCTGAGGTTGGGCTCGGATCATGTCTAGCGATTCTGCTGATTACAACAGGTAAAATCCTAAAATTGGTCACTTTATAAAGAGATGCCCGTTGTTAAGTTGTAGATACGCTGATGTTTATATTTTGCTGCGTTGGTTATTATCTAGTTAGCTAGGCCCCAACCATTGCTAGGGTGATCTGGTTGCTAACAGTTAGCTTTGTAATGTTAGCTGCCCAGCTACACCGCAGTTCCAAATTGGCGTTATTAGCCATTTGGATTAAATGAACTTCATTTTTGTAATGGGCGATGTGAAAGTGATCAAGACCGCATTGTATTCTTAAAATACTTATCGCTGCTGTGGCCGCTGGTGGTCAAATTAAGACAAACCGTGAGGCCAGGCTACAGCCCGGCCTAGTTGGCAGCATAGGCCCAACTGTCCGACATATTGGCTAACGGTGAGTGAAGCAGAGCTCCATGTTGAGACGTGCCGAACGTGTTCAGATATTACTTTATCGCTTTTAATGTGCAAGTTAACATAAGCCACACCGGGCTTGTGAGACTGTCTGAAACCCTTCGAGGTTACATAACGTCGAGTGATATTTTTGTGGGTCAGGTAGTCGAACCGTGCTCGTGGAATTTTGACACGTGCACCCAGTAAAGCCCCGGACGGTGTAAGGAGATATTCAGGGCGTAACCCAGACCGTAGACTTAACTTTGCTGGACACGTTGGACGTAGCTTTTATGTTTCAGTCGCATTAAAGTTAACATGAAATATGGGGCTTATTTTCTTCAGCGAGACTTGGCACTGTTGAAAAGTCTTAATACTCTTCTCATGACATAACACGTGATAGGGATGTCTTGATGTCACCTGTGTTAAGTAGTCCATTCTCAAGACTTCTCTTTTCTGAGGAAGATATGTCAATGTTAACTTTAAGTTTGACCTATATTTTTGTCTAACAGCTCAAGAGATAGAGACCATGGGGGGCCAGATGGTATGGAGCCTGATGGTGTCATCGAGGTGAGAACATGTTAAAACTTTTTCATGGATGAAAACTGATTCAGTATGCACGTTATGTGCTCTCACTCACAAGCACTTTCTTTTTATCCAGAGCAATTGGAATGAGATTACAGACAACTTTGATGATATGAACCTGAAGGAGACTCTTCTCAGGGGAATATATGCATACGGTTTTGAAAAACCATCTGCCATTCAACAGAGGGCAATCATTCCTTGCATCAAAGGTACAGAAATAAAATTAACTAAGGTGGCTTGAGTGAAATGATGCTTAACCATCTTTCGGGACTTACCTATTAATGGGGATAAGTTTTTTCTCACTGATCACTCAATACCATCAATTTGATTAATTTAAATCAGAAGTGTCTTAATTGAAGTGAGTCCAAATAATGTCAGTTTGTATAGAGATTATTTTTAAATTTGATTTTCTTATTAATTTGAATAACTGTTCTTTATTGCAAATCATTTTTGTCCTGTTTCCTTTAGGCTATGATGTCATTGCCCAAGCCCAGTCAGGCACTGGCAAGACGGCCACGTTTGCCATCTCTATCTTGCAGCAGCTGGACATAGAGCAAAAGGAGACTCAGGCTCTGGTGCTGGCTCCTACCAGAGAGCTGGCTCAGCAGGTATGCTGTTCCTGAGGTCATGATAACCTCAACAGTGTCTCAGACCTAGGCAGCATATTGAGGACACTGATTTCAAGTGCTAAGGTACCTTTCTTTAAAATATAAAATTAAAAAAAATATATCCGCTTAAGATTGGTGTAGTCTCTGTCCATGGCTGCACTGGTCTGAAAGGTGGACTGACTTTGACATTATTGTGCTTTTATATATTTTGTTGTTGTATAAAACTGTGTGATATGATGCCATACCATCTTTCGGGACTGACTCTTGAACTGGAGAGTTCTTGTATGTTACTGATCACTTTAAACACTGCTGTGTTTGCATGTCTTGCCATGCCATCTGTACCACATTATCCTGAACTTTTTGTTCATTTGTTTTGTTCCTGCCACCCCCTATTAGATCCAGAAGGTAATTCTAGCCCTTGGTGACTACATGGGGGCAACCTGCCATGCCTGCATTGGTGGGACTAATCTCCGTAGTGAAATACAGAAGCTCCAAGCGGAGGCCCCTCACATAGTGGTGGGGACACCGGGGCGTGTGTACGACATGCTCAACAGGAGACACCTGTGTAAGTATAGGTTTAGTTCAGGAGGAAAGGTTTATGTGTAATAAATTGCAGAAAGTTCAGCTAACATAATGTTTCTGCTCAGCCCCAAAATGGATCAAGATGTTTGTTCTGGATGAAGCAGATGAGATGTTGAGTCGAGGCTTCAAAGATCAGATCTATGAGATCTTCCAGAAACTGAGTACAAACATTCAAGTAAGTGCCTTTTCTATACACCAGTATGGCATCCTTCTGCATCAACAGACGCCTGCTATAATTGTGTGACTCAGTTTTCTGTTTCTTGCAATAATGCTAGCAGACTATTGCGTAGAAGGAAATTATTGCGCACTGTATTGAAAATGAGATGTGGTTGAACCTCTTTCTTAATGTTCGTTGGCCTTGGTCTCAAGGTGCAGTGCTACAGTTGGGTCTGCATTTAAATGTATTTCTTTCAATACATAGGATTTGTCACTTTGCGATTGAGTCCTTTGGTCCTATGGTTAACATGTAATGCAATTTACTCAGGTGGTCCTGCTTTCTGCCACCATGCCAGCAGATGTGTTGGAGGTGACCAAGAAGTTTATGAGAGACCCCATTCGCATCTTGGTGAAGAAGGAAGAGCTTACCCTTGAGGGTATCAAGCAATTCTACATAAATGTGGAGCGAGAGGTGGGTTTACTGATCTTACAGCTTTTTGTGTAATCTCATTCAGCTATGAACACAATAGATTTCCTTCTCTCTAAAGCACCCTGCTAAAACTGCAGGAGCCAAGCCTCTCAGGTTTAGCTTATGTGGCCGTGTAAGCATGGGTACACCAGGGAAGGAGATTAAAGGCACAGTATCGCAAATGAGGCTCGGAGGGACCTCTTTCTTAATGTCCAGTGTCCTTTGCCTCAAGAGGCTGTGTCACATGGCAGTTGCTCTGTTTTTACTATGGAGTTAAATGATGCTTGACAATTGCCCTTGTTGCATGCTTGTATTATGACTTGTTGATGATGTATTGCTTTGCATAATTTTTTTTTTTTTGGGGTGGTTGGGGGTCATCACAGGAGTGGAAGCTGGACACCCTGTGTGATCTGTATGAAACTCTGACAATCACCCA